GTGTTGTCTAAATTGGCAACCGTGCCTTTCCTAAGGGGGAAGGCGTCGGCTCTGTGCCTGTTTCTTCTGGATCCTGCTTCAGTGCCAAAATCCTTTAAGGACCAGGTGGTCAGCCAACAATGCGTGTTTGCTCCAGGGAGGTGGGTTCTCGGCGGAAGCACTGGTGGGTGATCATGCGAGATTCTAGTTGCCTGCCATCATTTGGTTCTTTTTATGAAGTATTGGAAACTGAAATTCAATTTACAGTTAGAGCTGTCACTTGTAGCTAAAATGTTGTTGATCCGTTGCTTTATCCGAGGCATTTACAAAACAGGCAAGCCTGAGGTGTACTGAAATGTAGAGCAGTGCATATTTATGCAAGGTGTAACTTCACATTGTACTAGCTGTGTGTGCATCAAGCACACAATGCTGGCTGCTTCTGTGTTTGAGTTTCGGATGCTGTTATTAATAAGGTCTCGGATGTATTCTGGTATAGGTTTACGGGGCTGCTGTTATCAAGGAGATTTCCTGACTCGTAATTCTCACAGATCTCTGCCCCTACAGTAGTCTTCTAATATCCCAGGTAATTATGTTATCTGGATAATGACATTCTTTTACTTACACTCCCACAAAGACCAGGGGAGATGATTGGAGGCATAACCACGAATGCCATAGCCTTAAAGCAAGGAAATCCCACTAGGTTAGGGTTTCCATATTGTTCATATGTAGGTAAATACAATAACATCCTTCAGGATGCATGCTTTCATAGAGTGATGGAGACAGGGCAGCTAATGAGCTCTTAAAAAATAAGCTGAATGAAGTTTCCTTCAGATATTCTTAGTGTCTGTATCAGCTGTCTGTATTGAGAAGTTTCTGTAGACTGCAGATTTTAGATGTGCTTTGATACATCCCAGTGAGCTCTGGCTCCTGACAAAAGTGATTTCAATGCAGAGTTGCTCAGATTATTACTTTTATTTCTCGTTGCACAGATGAAAACCTACATTTAGAGATAAATTAATAGGCAAGGCTAAGAATCTTCCTGAAACGACAAGCAACAATAAGGTGATAGTTTATGTTGCCGCTTTTTTCCCCAAGTGTGGACTCCCACTGCACACAAAGCTGCTTTAGGCCTTTTTCCTTGTTTGTTTTCGATAAAATATTTATTGGCTTTCCATGGGAGAGGTTTCAACAGCTGCTTTTAAGTACAGCCAAGAGCCTACAGTGAATGTGCTTTGCAAGTTTGAAGCTATGGCTTTATAGCTCACATATGTGCACCAGAACAGATCATCTTCCTATGCTTTTTCTGGTTTAGTGTTTCTGAAAAAATCCCATCCTTTCATTTAATGTTGCTGAGGAGTGAGGATTTGATTCCTTCACCCAGATACTTGGCTGACCACAACATTTTTCTCCACTCTTGTGCCTCTCTATGTGGTCCTCTGCTCCGTTTTGGTCATGCAGTGAAAGACTGGTAGGGTTTGGGAATCCTGGGGGTATAATCTTCCCTTTTACAACTTTTTGTTGTCAGGAGTCATGTATTTTACTTGGAAAAGCTAGTGGGACTGGGTCTTGTGGGGTTTTACCTTTTTTATTCCCCCCCCCTTATTTTAAAATAGCTTTTCTGCAGTGGTTTCTGTGACTTAGTTGCAAGGGCATTGAACAGGCCTTATTTTGGCACTCCCCTACCCTTCAGAAATTTGACAGGTGCCAAACATGTACCTTTGTGTGTGCTTGTATTTATGGAGCTAATAATTCATATGTGTTCTTCCTGCTTACGTGAGTTAATATGCTTTTTAGATATGAAGCATCAGTTGAAAGTGTATGAACTGGAGGTGATACTTAGTATGTCAGAGGAGACTATAGCTGGGCTGGCTTGATGTAAAAGGGTTGAGTTGTACTCGACAGCGCTTGCAGTCCCCGAGAGTAGGAATTATTGCTGCATATATGGTAAGTTTCTGTCCGTGCAGAGGAGCGGGGAAGGAAAGTTCCCGTAAGGTCTCAAGGAGTCTTTTCCACAAAGAGCATGTGTTTATGTAATGGAGAAGGATGTGGCCCAGAGACAGAGGATTGACAAAAAGGGGAAAATCCAGTGAAAATGGGTGCAGAAGGTGTGTGGAAGGGTTGGATGGGTGTGGGGTACTGCTTGGGGAAGAAGCTATTGGGGAATCTACGTTAGTTTGTGGGGAGAAGGCAACTGAATGCAGAATTCAAGGGAGTTGTTGGTAAGATGTAGCAGACGATGGAAGTGTAAGGGAGAAAAGACTGTATGTGGAAGAAGGCCCTTGGGAAAGGCTGGTGATGATCCAGGCAAAAGCGGACAGGATGAAAATGTCAGGACTGAGAGGAAATTTTTTTTTAAAAAAAAAAAGGTATGTGCAGGGGTGGCAGATTTGTTAGGAAAAGGGGAGCAATGGAGATAGGAAGACTGGGGAAATGAGAGGTTGGAGTAGTGCTATGCATTAATTTCCTTGAAGCTCTGAAGTCCAAGGACAAATTTGGTGAAGAGTGCAGAAACTGCACATAGCAAGATGGTTCTTGTGCCAGAAGTAAGTAACAGGCAAGGAAACGCTGCTCCCAGCTTGTTGGTCTGTACTGTTTGTGTTGCTGCTTTTTTTTACTTGCTTACTTGCTGTGTTTTTATTGAACAAGGTTGTCATTTTTTTTGTTTTTTAGGAAATGTAAATTCTTTAAAGTGGATAGGAATGAGGAACCATTCCTCTATGGTCTGTGGCTTACTCCCCATGGCTCTTCCTCTCCCCTGTCACAAAACCACTACAATATTTGAATCTGGGAATATTTCTAAGTGGGAACAAGCAAGGGGACGCAGACTCCATGGCTTCTATGACAGGTTACAGTGCATGGCCTGACCGAGAGGTTCCTTGCCACACTGGAGGGTGCACACTGTGTAGTCTGGTGTTACCACATGATGCTATTCTCATTTCTAGTAATTTTCATGCCTGTCTTAATTGTCTGCAATGATTTAATAAAGTCTTGCAGATAGAGGTTCAAAGGTCTTCTTTCAGTCTCATTTAATTGAGACAGACAGCTATCGGGGACCCTATGTGAGCTCCCTGGACACGATGTTCATATAAATGATAGATACGTTTTGCCGTACTCTGAGGTTGGATCTCACTGTGCTTGATATTTTGCAGACTTGACCGTCTCTGCTTGCATCTTTCTTAGGAAGCTTGTAAGACAAAGAGAGAAGTTGTTACTGGGATCTTTAAGTTTTAGAAGACTGTGAAGTGATTAATATTTGGCTGCTGAGTTGGAAATGAATACATGATTATTTTGGAAGACTATTACTTCTTTGCTACAAGGCAGTGTTAGATAACATGTCAACATCTGTTACCTTAACACAAGGAGTTCTTGGTCATGATATCTTTTCATATGTGTTTGGATTTTCCAGTACTGACATTAGATTGCTTGGGAATGAGCCTCGCTTTCTTTGCATTTACAGCAAACGTGATACAATTTCATCTTAGGTTACTGGCATTGTTACATTGCTTTGAATTACGTTGAAGAGATTTGTCTGTTAGGATTCCCTGCTGACTGCCATGGAGTTATGGGGAAGAATACTAATAAACAGTTACTTCCCGAAATAACTGTTAATCCTTTAATGTTTTTCAAGACATTTCCATTATGGCTTTATTTTTCTAGATCTGACAAGCATGTCTTTTAAATCTGAAGCAGGGAAATGAAAGCACCAATCCCCAGGTCTCAGTGATGCAATTCTAAAATGGTAAAATTCTGAACAATACTGGGTTTTGTGTGAATTTTCTTTCTTTCTCTTCCCTCTGCCCTCGCCAAAGGGGAACAAACAAAACAAAACCAAACCCCCAAAATCCTTGAAGGAGAAGCCTTTGTCTTTAAATATGTATTTATCAGGCAGTAAGGCTTTTAAATTACTTATCGCCACTTCAGTGTGCGAATGCTGAAAGGCATTTTACGTTCCATAACTAGCAAATGCCACTACAGTTTGGGTTTCTGACAGTCCTCCAAAGCACTGAGTATTATTGGTGAGTTGATTAGCATGGATTTTATATACTTAAAACCTTGCAGGATTAAATTCTGTGGTGTTTTTTTTTTTAATATAAATATGGCTATTAAAATATATATGAAAAAATGTTTGGTTTGATATTCTAGAAAGACAAGAAGCTATGCATAACATAATTTTAAATATGGAGCAATACATCATGTTAAATTATGGAGGAAAAATAAAGGAAGGGTTTATTCTTTCTGGGAGCAGACGCGAGGGAGGGGATGGGCCGCGCTGCGGTGTTCAGCACCTGGGCTCTGGACAGCGGCATCTGAGGGACCCAGGACCTGTACACTCAAAATGGGGGACGCAGAGCAAATGAAACATGTTACTGTTCTTCGTGTTGTGGCATGCTCCAGTGCCACAGTCAGCATGCAGCACAGGCCAAGCTTGAGATCCTAGCATTTTGTGTAACATTGTATTTTATAGACTATTAGCAGGCGTGCTTTATAACAATTAAAATAATTTGCTCAGTGGCCAAAATAAACTCTAAGCTTAAATGAGAATACAGATCAAATGTGCTTTATGTTCTCAGGAGTTATAAAAAATGTTATGTTCTGAGCAATAAAATAATTTGAGCACCCCAAACTTAGAAATGAGTTTTGAGTAATTTAATATCAAGAAGTCGAAATAGATGGAAACTGTATATATTTTTTTCTGTGGATGCATGTGAGAGTTTGCAGTGTACAAATATAGTTTGTAGAATAGTGAATTACATGGGTTTTAGTGAAATGAGTTGTGCCGAACTCGTCATGAGAGTAAAGAGGGTATTATTGCATTTTAAATACATTTTGTCCATGTACTTCCTAACATGTGCCTTGAATCCACTATCAAGGCAGGAATTCACAGAAGCAGATTGAAGTGTAGTTGTTGAAACATGTACCTGAAATCTTGTGTTCTTATTTCAATTGTGGTTTGTTTTTTTTTCCTTCTGAGCTAAATGAAAATAATGACCATGATTATTTTTTTTCCTTTTTGTTTCTAGGGGTTGATACAAAATTGAAATTCACTCTTGAACCATCTTTAGGTCAAAATGGTTTTCAGCAGGTAATTTGATTCATTTTTCTCTTGAGTTTATGAAGGATTGGGTTCTCTTCAATCAAGGTACTTGCCCTAGTTTGAAAGTACATCTGTCATCATAATGTCAGCATATTATTTGCAATTGTATCAAAAGCTGTCCCATTAGTATCTGGAAAATGCAATAGGCTTTCATTGTTTACTCAGGTATCTCATAAGTTTTTGTGTCCTAATTACATTATTATTACATATTACATTTTTGTTATAGCGTTAAGTAATTAATCTATATTTTCCCTGGGAGTGGATTAAGCAGTTAAACTCTGAGATGTGTGCAGTAAAATGAAATGAACGTGCATGTCTGCAGTGTTGTAAATGTTGCTATACTGTAGCATTAAACTAGTGGTGGATTTTATACATTTTTGGATGCTTTTCCTTTTAGTGGCATGATGCGCTCAAAGCAGTGGCCAGGTTGCCGACAGGCATACCGAAAGAATGGCGGAGAAAGGTAGGTAGACCTGTATGCTTTGTGGGACGTATTGCTTGTGGGTTTCTCAGGAGAGGTGAATGACATCAATATTATCAGTGCGTTTTAACAAATATGTGGAAGTTTTAAATTTAAGTTGTAATGGGGATTTTTCCTAGTTTACATTCTTCAGTGATAATCTCACAGGGCAGCTGGAGAGACTGAGGAGACAGGTAAAGATGATGTTTTCAATAGTTGAGCTCTTTCTGCTTGAGGCTTAGGTGACTTATTCCGATGCAGATGTTATTGCTTCATTCTGTCACTCTCAAGGAATTGCACTGGTGAAGCTTCCCCCGCAGCTGAAGATCGACTGAAAGGAGAGCAAATCTCCAGTGTAGGCTGTCGTACTTGTGAAGGTGAAGTTGATAGATGCTAGTGCTGACAAGAATGCTCATAGAAACATTTGATGGGGGAAAGGCAGATTGCCTAAATTAGGAAAGTTCGGAGTTGGGAGTGATGTAGAATGGTAGAGTGCACCATTAATGGGAAATTGCACTGAGTTAGTGTTGTAGGAAAGGGTCCAGTGGGATTTTGCTAGACTTACTTTATTGCTTTCTTCAACAACATTTGAAGTTCCCTAGCCTAAAAGAAACCATATCTATTAATCTTTTCTATAACACTGAGTCATATGATGTCAGCTTTAAAAATGCAATTTTAATAAAAAGAATATTTTAAAAGCTTTATAAAATGTATGTAGTTCCATATATTTGTGATGCATCAGATGAATTTCCTTTTCCTGTTTTCTTTTTGCTATCTTTCCAAACCAAACTGTTCCTCTTTACAAATCAAGGGGGAAGGATACAGAAAACTTACAGTGGCATCGTTTTCCTCACACCACTAAGATTTTATTTTTAATTTACAACTCCAGTGAATCATTATATCCATCTAACAGCCTTTTTTCTTTCCTGAAATGTTCTTTTCCCACGCTCCAGTAAGTGTCTCAAACGCTTTTCTGTGATACATGAGTGGCAGAGGTCATAGAATCACAGAAGGGTCGAGGTTGGCAGGGACCTCTGTAGATCATCTGCTCCAACTCCCCTGCTCAAGCAGGGCCACCTGGAACAGGTTTCCCAGGACTGTGTCCGGGTGGCTTTTGAAATCTCTCCAAGGATGGAGACTCTCTGGGCAACCTGTGCCAGTGCTCGATCGCCCTCACAGTAAAAAAGTGTTTCCTTGTGTTTGGCCAGAACCTCCCATATTTCAGTTTGTGCCCATTGCTTCTGGTCCTGTCAGTGGGCACCACTGAGAAGAGCCTGGCTCCATCCTCTTTGTACCCTCCCTTTGGGTGTTTGTATACAGTGATAAGATCCTCCCAGAGCCTTCGAGCCATCTCTTCTCTGGACTGAACAGCCCTAGCTCTCTCAGCCTTTCCTCGTAGGAGAGGTGTTCCTGTCCCTTCATCCTCTTTGCAGCACTTCCCTGGACTCTCTCCAGTCTGTCCATGTCTCTCTCGTGCTGGGGAGCCCAGGACCGGACCCACCACTCCAGCTGTGTCTGACCAGTGCTGAGCAGAGGACCAGGATCACCTCCCTCGACCAGCTGGCAAGGCTTTGCCTGATGCAGCCCCCCGGGCTGTTGGTTTTCTTTGCTGCAAGGACACGTTGCTGGTCATGGTCAGCTTGGTGTCCACCAGGAGCCCCAGGTACTTCTCTGCCAAGCTGCTTTGCAGCTGCTTGGCCCCCAGCATGTCCTGGTGCCTGGGGTTGTTCCTCCCCAGGTACAGGACTTTGCACTTCCCCTGTTGAACTTTATGAGGTTCCTCTCAGCCCATTTCTCCAGGCTGTCAAGGTGCCCTTGGGCTTATCAGCCCCTTCTCCCAGTTTTATGTCATCAGCAGACTTGCTGAAGGTATTATCTGCCAATCTCTGTGTTTTCCTTCTCATTCTGCCCATCTCTGTGTTTACTCACATGTGACCACATGATGCTAACCAAAGAAGTAGTGCTAAGAAAAGGGATGTGGTCTTTTCACTGACATCCCCTGGTTTCCCAATGATTTTAAGATTGATACCAAAATAAAGGAAACATTTTGTGTTGGCAGCATGCTGATTGCCTCCTTTGCTGGCAGCAGAAGGAGCAGGGTGAAGTCTTGCATTATCGCTGTGGCATGTGACATTTGTTTTCTGGGCCTGGCAGAGATAAAGAATCCAGTCAAACAACATCAGTAGGATGTCAGCAGTGCCAAAGGCTGCTGGGAGGCAGAACAGTGGCGTTCCTCCGCATGAGTGGCTTTGCAAAAGTGTGGGAAGGGACATTTAAATGCAGAAGACATGAGATTCTGGGAGCTGTCTATAAATTCCTTCATCACGCAATGCGGTGTTTAAATCTGTGGGAAGTGTCTGAATTGCTTTTCTCACTTGAGTGAGTTAATGGCTGATATAAAACTTGACCAATTTGCTCTCATTATTTCTTTCAGTTTCCTGAAGAGAAAGATCCTTTATTGTTACTGGTTGTCATTATATGATCGGTCATGTGTCTTTCATGATTCAGGCACTTTTCAAATGTTTAATAAAGGTCCAGCCTTTGTCGTAGAGACATACGCATAAATCTGTTCTGTAATTATCAGGCTTTAAAAGTAGTCAAAATGCTTGCTTTCAGAACTCCCTGTAGCACCAACAGTTTAGGAAGCCCTCTTCTAAAAGTAAGTTACTCTGATCCAAGTGATGCTTTCAGATCAATCCCAAGTGGTTAATACTAGATGCTATTTCTTCTGCAAAGTTGATCAGGAGAGACCCCTGGTAAAGAGAAGCGCTGTCTCCATCATTTGCTGAATGCAGAGGGTAGCGTAGTGACAAGGGATGAGGAAAAAGCAGAAGTGCTGAATGCCTTCTTTGCCTCCGTTTTCAATACCAAGACCAGTTGTCCTCAGGACACCCAACCCCCAGAGCTGGATGTTAAGGATGGGGAGCTGAGTGAGGCCTCCATAATCCAGGAGGAGATGGTTAGCGATTTGCTGTGCTAATCAGGCTCCCATAAGTCTATGGGCCCCGATGAGATTCACTCCAGAGTAATGAGGGAACTGGCAAAAGAACTTGCCAAACCTCTTGCAATCATCTGTCAGCAGTCCTGATTAACTGAAGAAGTTCCAGCAGACTGGAAGCTAGCTAATGTAACGCCCATCTACAAGAAGGGTCGGAAAGATGATCCGGAGAACTGCAGACCAGTCAGACTGACCTCAGTTCTGGGCAAGGTCATGGAACAGATCATCTTGAGTGCCATTACACAGCACATGCAGGAAAATCAGGGGATCAGGGCCAGCCAACATGGATTTATGAAAGGAAGATCATGCCTGACCAGTCTGGTTTC